TCAATAGTCTTTCTGTACACAAATAAACTCACTGAGGGAGAAATTAGGGAAACAAAACCTTTTACAATAGCATCCAAAAAAAAAGAAAAAAGAAAAAGAAATAACTTAGGAAGCAGTCTAAGAAAGAAGTAAAAGACATTTACATTGAAAACTACAGTACTCTGAAAAAGGAGATCAAAGAGGATATCAGAAAATGGAAAGATATGCCTTGTTTTTGGACAGGATGAAACAATACAGTGAAAATCGCCATACTTCCAAAATTGTTATACAGATTTAATGCAATCCTGATCAAAATACCAATAGCATATCTCACCGAGTTAGAGACAATTCCAAAATTCATTTGGAACCAGAGAAGACCTATAATAGCAAAAACAATTCTAGGAAACAAAGGCAAGGCAGGGGGTATCACAATCCCTGATTTGAAATTATACTACAAATCTACTGTGGTAAAAACAGCATGGTACAGGAAAAAAAAAAAAAAAAAAAAAACCAGACCCAAGGATGGGACACATTAGAAAATGCAGAAACAACTCCAAACATATTCAGCCAACTCATCTTTGACAAAGGAGCCAAAAATCTTCAATGGAAGAAAGATAGCCTCTTTAAAAAATGGTGCTGGAAAAACTGGCTTTCCATATGCCAAAGATTAAAGCTAGACCTACATCTTTCACCATGCACTAAACCAAAATTGAAATGAATCAAAGATCTAAATATTAAAACAGAAACACCGAATCTGCTGGAAGATAGAATAGGTACACTCTTGAAGACATTGGTATAGGCAAAGACTCCATGAATAAAACCCAATCACACAGGAATTATCACAAAGAATCAACAACTGGGATCTCATCTTACTAAAATGCTTTTGCACAGCAAGAGATATCACCAACAGAGTGAAGAGGCAACCCCAGAGTGGGAAAATTTTTTTGCCAGGTGTCCTTCAAAGGAATAATATCTTGAATATATAAAAAACTAAAAAAAACAGACCCTCTAAATTTAAAGACCCAATCCAAAAAATGGGCATCTGAAATGAATACATATTTCTTATGAAGAAGTAGAAATGGCAAATAAATATATAAAAAAATCTTCAATATCACTGGTCATTCTAGAGATGCAGATGAAAACAACACTGAGATTCCATCTCAACCCAGAAAGAATGGCTGCTTTCAAGAAATCAACCAATAACAAATGCTGGAGGGGCTGTAGGGAAAGAGGAACCCTGCTCCACTGTTGGTGGGAGTGTAGACTGGCGCAACCACTGTGGAAATCAATCAGTGTGGAGATTTATCAAAAAGCCTGGGCAATGTAGCGATTTAGTGAGAGAGACCTCATCTCAGCATAAAAAATAAAAAAGGGCTGGAGATGCTTGGGCTTGGGCTCAATCCCCAGAACTGCAAAAAAAGGTTTTTTTGTAGTTAATGTTTGAAATCTTTGTCTTCATACTTGATTGTTAACAGAACTTGGAAAATAATTGCACTTAGTCAATTTAATTAAAAAAAAATTTTTTTAGTACTGGGGATCGAATTCGGGTCCTTGAGCTTGAGCAGCAGGTGGCAAAACCACTGAGCTAAATCCCCGGCCCCAATTTAACTTTTTGACCAAGTTTTTAAATACTATAACCTGTTTCCTGTACAGAAAAATTTCATATTAAGTTTTTATTTTATTATATTTTAAGCACATGTTTGCAATACATAATTCCATGCCTTGTGGAAAATTGTTACATGTACATAATACATCTTAATTCTTTTTTCATCTTC